TAAAAAAAGAAAATGAGACAGTGCATGGAAATATGACCCGTGAGAAGAGCAGATAATAGTTACAGGGCATGAAATTCCACATAATCAGGGAAAATGTTCATTTTAACTAAGTGCTCTCTTGGTTGGGGGACTAGGTCGTGGACAAAGAGAAGGAATTCTGTTTTCTTCAGTTTAGTCTGAATCCTCTCTGACACCTAAGGGAGGCATGGGGTGGAAAATTCTTTCCCTCTTCCCATCTCGGTTCTTTGGCTGGCTTAATAATTAAATTGACATTAAACAAAAGAAACACAAATTTAATTTTGTTGTGTCATTCTGAGCTAAGGAATGGGCTAGATGCCTGGGGCTTCAATGGTGAGGAGGGTAATTCATACAACGAGGTAAAGCAGATGATAAGTTTGCCTTGTTGATAGGTCTTTTATATAAAAAGTTGTCTCTGGTAATGGCTCTTTCACCCAGGGCCAGGCCCTCGAAGTTCTTATACCGAGTTAAGAGGGAGGTGAATGTGTTTCCTGAGTCTACTAGGTCTTGAAAACCTTCAGAGAAGACAGTACCCCCTCTTGGAGGAGGAAGGGGCACTCCAAGAGACCTTGCTAGAGGTCGAACAGGGAGGGAGTGTGCATGTATGCATGTTGTGTATAAGAAATTCCAAACTGGGAGCAGGAGGGGGTATGGGTAGGAGAGGGGGGTCATTGATAGAAATACAGAGCTTAAAATGCCAATGCTTAGTGACACAAGAGTTATCTCAGAGGGTACCTGCTCCTCGGGGTGGAGGCTGAGAACAGAACCACCTGGTTTTGTAGGGGTGAAGAGAGCTGCAAGTCCAGGGGCCCTGGAGAGGCGAAGACTGGCTCATTTAGAAGCATGTCCAGCTCACTGTATTTGAGCATGGGGGCTGGGGGGCAGCAACTCTGGTTGTTGAGTCTCCAGTGGCCCAGAACCAATGTGGGCAGCACAGCAGAGCAGTCCAAGTAGGCAGGAGGCCAGGCCAAAGTGGGGGATGGCAAAAATGGGGGGCTTCCCGTCTGTGCATCCCCAAGGGGGTGAGGTCCAGAGGAACTGTATTCTCCATTTTATTGTCAAACCTGACTTCACAGTTTTCTGACCATTTCAGAAGCTTCACCTTTAAGGGGAAATATTTTTAAGAAGCTTCCTGTTGGGGAAGTCTGTGGGCTTCACTGCTCTCAGTGGGAATATACAACTTTAAAGTGCTTGAAAAGAAGAATGCACTTCTGAGGAATTTGCATTTTCAGAAAGCTTTCAATAGAGGGCCTGGATGGAGCCTGTGAATGAAGTCTTTCTGTGTTGGGCTGCATGTGAATAGTACAGGAGGAGGGAGAGAGGAGGAGCTTGCTCCCGGCAGCAGCTGCAGGAAACTGGTGGTGGTGGAAGGCTCGGTGCCGCCTGAGGGGGTGCTGGGATGTGTGTGCTGAGTCACCTCTCCCCTGCAGGTTTCCAGGGAGCTGGATTGCAGGAGGTAAACACGCGCCCTGGTTCCTAGTTCCAGTGGCTACCTTCCTTGCTCTACAGCCTCTTTTTGCCTCAAGAATTTGGCCTTGTGGGGAGGAGCAGAGTTGCTCAATGGGCAGCGCTGTGGCGTGGGGAGCAGAACCTGATGTTTGGTTCTTCATATCGATATTCACAGGGGGTTTGCTCATGGAGGGTGGCCCTCTTGTGCATTCCTTCCTCCTTTACTTGGGACCTGTGGTGACCACAGCAATCAGGAGACCTCACCATTTGGTTTGCTAATGCTCCCTTAGGCCCCTACCCCTAGTTTTCTTTCCCTCTCTAAAGAGGCTGAGTAGCCTTGAGAAGGAAGGAAGTTTTAAAGCCTGACCCACCAAAAGTAACCCAAAGCCTCATTGTGGGTCTTTGGCTCACCCCAGGGAGCGCTCCCTGGTCACAGGGTGAAGGATGAGGTGTTTGGTCAATAGCTTCTATGCTCCTGCCCCTTCCTACTTTAGTGCAAGCCCTTTAGTGAGTGCCGGAGCAGCCCCGGGCTCCATGAGGTCACTCTCCCAATGCAGCAGGTCCTGTGTGTGCTTCTGGAAGCCAAGTGCTAAGGGGTCTAGACATGTGACTTCAGCCCCAGGGAAGCCCTGAAGCCACTGACATGCATGAGACATCACCTCATGTGAGTTTATTCTGTGACCAACCTATACATTAGACCAAGAACTCACCCTTGCTTTTATTTCTGAGGCAATAAAATGAAACTTAGGGGGGAAAGGATGCCGCGCGGGTGAGGACCCACGGCCAGGCAACCCGTTTTATGTCGGGGCTGCTCCGTAACAAAATGACTAGCAGAACAAAAATGGCCCCATAGGTGGGCACCTTACCCTAGAAAAATGTTACACTCTCAGGATTTTCTTCTCTTCCTCCTTCTCACCCTCTCTTCCCGTCTTTCTATCCAAACAAAATGGCATTGACCTCTTTCCCGATGCCAGACACTATTCCCGGAGCTGTCGTAAACCGCACAGAGATCCCCGGCCCAGAGCCTGCAGGCTGGCAGAGGGAGACCAGTCTAAATAATCACAAGAAAATGTTGCAGCGTATGTGAAGGTGGTGAGGGGCAGACGGGACTGGGGATTTGCAGTTTTAAGCAGGCTCGTCGGGGGGAAAAATGAATGAAAAATGACATTGGAGCAAAGATGTGAAGGCCGTGGAGGGAAGAACATCTCTCCTTCCACCCTTCCGTCTTCTTGCCCGGGGCTCTGGAACCAAAGACAAGCGTAGCGAGAGAAAAGCAAACATCCTTATGGAATATTTGTTTTTTGTGACACGGGGCCCTCCTGAGGAACTGAAGACAGAGTCTACCACGTCTGAGTGTTTTCAAGTCAGGTGTGATGAAAAATGGAGGAAAAACATGGCCAGCGTCTTGGAGATGAGGACGATCCTTCCCTTCAGGTCCGAGGAGGGATGCTCTTATGAGAGGATTCTAGGATCTGCTGCAGGGGAAGCTCAGAGTCCTTCCCGCCCCTGCTGTTTCTCAACTCCCAGGTAGCTGTGGGCCACAGGGAAGAGTGTGCCAGGCACAGGGAAGAGTGTGCCAGGCACGGGAACTGCCGGCGCAAAGGCCCCAAGGGGGTGTGCCTGGCATGGGCACGCCAGAGCAGGGAGGGCGCCATCGCTGGAGCCAGTAGGCAGGGAGCACCCGGAGAAGCAGTCAGCGAGGGAAGGGGCCAGGTAAGATCTCAGCTTTTGCTCCTAGTGAGGTCGAGAGCACTTCAAAACTTTCTTTGGAAAATTTCGAAGAATACCCTGACAAAAACTCCTTCATCTAACTCATGTCTGACTCCCGTGAGCCCTCAGCCTGACCTTGGGCTCTGTCCTTGGCCCACCCAGTCCAGCTGCAGTGGGGCCCCTGGGTCACTCTAGCCCCAGTCCTCTAACACTGGTACCCACCAGCCTTCATGGCCGGACATATTCCTTGCCCTCCACCTCAATATCTGATCACGCGGCTTGCTTCAGTAAGAATCCTATCAAGCCGGTTAAGCCAGAATCTCCTAGAAATTCTGCTTCCTCTGACCCCACTCTGCTTGCTGGCGACACATTCCCACTGCCCTCGTAGTGTGCAGATGGAGCCAGTTCAACAGAGGCTGCGCTTCCCTTATTGCAATAAAATTCACCTTCATGCTTTAACTTCTGTCCAACTCTGACCATCTCTGACCACACACAGAGAGCGGAGTATGATGAACCCACCAGGTACCCGTCGTGGCTTCCACCATGACCCACGTACCCCCATCTGCCTCCCCCACAGCACACCATTTCTCGCTAGTGTTTCCAGATCTCTGAATGATAGTGACAATTTGAATCTTACATCATATCACTTTCTCGGGGCTCCCTGATGGCACAAGGGGTTAAGAGGCACGCTATGAAGTTGTCCGCAGCTGCTGTAGCACGAGTTTGATCCCCGCCCGGGGTGATGATCCACATGGCACAGCAGACCTCTCCTGGCTCGCCCGCTGCTCCCCTCAGCAGTGGATTTCAGTTAATCAACCTGTTCTGTTCCACCTCTGTCTCTGGTGAATCCTCTCCCCCCCCACAACTCTGGCCTGTACCCCAGTTCTTGTATGCAAAAATAAATAAATCTTAAAAAAAAATGCTTTCTCACCTAAAAACTTACAATAATTCCCTAGGACAGGACCATGGAGGTGTAGGTCCAATGCAACCCCAGCACAGAACGTCACGGAGGCACAGCTCTGTGGATCCTCTTGCTGAGTTCAAGGATGTCCTCACCCCCTGTAGCCCAGCCCCCATCCCCTTGAGTTACTGCTTCAGTGCATTCTAGACTCCCAACCTCCCCCATTTGCATTTTTTGCTTTCCTCTCTAGATTAAAGTGCAGGGGGACAAACCACCTGCCGCCCCATGACTGACAGGTTGGTGTGTGAACACCCAGCTCTTCTGGGATTACTGGGGGTGGGGGGTAGGGGCATGTTCTACTGGTCCTAGGGTTGCCCCAGCAGCCTCAGTGGCCATGGCTGTGTTGACTGTCTTCCTCCCCATTTCACACCCCTCTCCCCCACTGGTGTTTGCTGGGGATGCCTTGAACTAAGACCTCTGCCTTGGCTGCTCAGGGGCCAGAGGTCAAAGGCCACGGGGCCCCTGCTGGGTGCATCTAAGCCACCCAGGCAGACCAAGAGACTACAACCCAGCCCGGACCTGCACCCCCCCATCCAGGGGGAGCAGATGAAGCCTTTTCCCAGAGACACAGTGTCCAGGGCACCAGGTGCAGACAGGAAAGGAGGCAGCGCCTCCCTCCTGCTCCCACTCATCCCGGCTACCAGGGATGGGCACTGCCCGGTCTGCTGGACCGTGAATGAAGCCGCAGAAGGCCTGCGGAGAGCCAGCATTTGCTCTGGGAGTGCTGAGAACGTTGCCCCCCTTGGGTCTATGGCCCCCAACAGAAAGGACAGTCTCCCACCCTGAACCCCCCCATCCTCCATTTACCTTCCTACCACCCACTTGCCAAGTAATTTTTGTATCTGAGTAAAATACACTAAAAAAAAACCCCAGACTTTTTGGGGGGGTCGTAGTTCTATTTTGGTGACAAGAGAGATCCTTGATGGAAACTGGATCTGTAAGAAAAAGAGGACAGAGCATCAGCTTGAACCCCCCTGCCTGTGAGGGTTCAAGAGGCTCTTCAGCTTTACGTCGTGGGTGAGGGTGAGACTCTGAGACCCTCCTGTGGAAAAATAAACCATTTAGGATTCAAATTTCTTCCACATCCACTTCTTCCTTACGCCTGCTCCTTTCATCCAAACAGAGTCCTGCTTCTTCAGGCTGTCCTGGCCTTGCCGATGCCCGGCTCACACTTGCCTCAGCCAAAGGCAGCTTCTCTCCTGCTTCTCCCCCTTCCCCAGGGCCCCGGCAGCTAAGGTGGAGCCCCAGCTCTCTAATGCCAGGCGCAGAGGCAAGTTTTACTATGCTCAGTGCCCCAAAGGAGACGGGAAACAGCCCCTGGCGTTTAGTGTCTCATCATTTGCTGGTGGGATGCTGAGGCAGAGGCTCCCCAAGCTTTAGGAAAGAAAATTCTAGAAGAGTCTTTTCCCAGAGGAGGCTGATGGTTCTTCTCTCTCTGGAGGAAGGAGGACACCAAACCGCATGTCCTTCCACAGGGAGGTGAGCTAAGCCCGTGAAACTCAAGATGACGCAGTGTACCCCACCATGCACCCTCACCCCCCATCGTAAACACCCACAGGTGGCCTCACCACCAAACGGTTTTGTCTGTTTTGATGTAGTTCCATAGCAAAAGGTAGGTGCCAGGAAATATTGGTGGAAGGAGTGAGTAATTTAATCATCACGTCTCTGACCCATCCATGGATCAGGTCAGTGTTCACGACTCATCTGAGTGTTTGTCCTCTGGCTCTCTTGTCTGGGGCCTTGACCAGCCGAGGCCCACTTCACCAGATCTTACAGTCCCAGCGCAGCCTTGCCCTGTCCCTGGCCTGGCCGCCACTACCCCATGGCCTCACAGAGCCCAGTGTGATGTGGACGATAGGTCAGTACTCACTGGTGATTGACCCGTTTGCCCGTGTACGAAGTTACGGAGAGATTGTGTGGTGGGTGGGGGGACACTGGTGAGTCTGGGTGGGAGATTCCATGGTGACCAGTGTCCAGGAAGGTGGCTGAAACTTCTGGGCCTCTAGAAAGACCTCCCTTGACCCCAGCTGGCAGAGCCTTCCTTCATCCGACCCACCGACCCCCAGTGTCCACTGACCAAAGACTTGTGGAGATGACACTACAGCCCGGACTCCAGCAGAGGCGTCTGGAGGAGGCCAGGGCTGCTGAGTTTAGAGCACGTCTCGGCACTCGGGGGCCTGCTAGCATTGGCCAACACTGGTTTCCCAGCAGCCTCTGCAGCAGCAGTCACGCAGCCAACGCAGCGGGTCCCCTGGGGAAAGGCCACTTCATCAGAATTGCCAGGCACAGATTCTGGGACCTGGGAGGACTCTGCTCTGGGGTGGAGCAGGTGCCACAGTCTCCCTCTCTCTCTGGGAAGCCAGAGAGGAGCCTGTCTCTGGGGGGACCCATTTATCAGGTGATAAATTTCATTCGCCTTCCTGGACACTGGTCGCCATGGACTCTCCCGCCCAAGCCTCCAGCCAGACACACACCAGCTCTGGGGAATTCTCCACATGGCCAGCTGCTACCATCTTCCCCGGCCCTGTCCCCGGGCCCTGGGGGACTGCATGCCCCTCCTCACAGCCACCGTCCTTGAAGCAGCTCTCATTCTCCCCACTTGAAAGACGGCACTGGCTCCCGGAGGACCCGCCAGCTGCCAGCAGCAGAGTGAAGACTAGGCCTCATGGCCTGACTCCAAGCCTCCATGGAGACCGCACACGAAGCGCCTTGCTCCCACGCCCAAGACCTCATGGGGTGGGGGTGCCATGAGAGACTGAACCTCTCAACTTGTGTTAGCTCATGAAGCTTCCTGCTTCTCCGCACGCTCCCGCGCCCCTTGATCGGGCACATGGTCCCTCGAGCGCATGGTGCGCTCCACCGGAGCCTGGTTTCTGGGCTGGGCTTTGAGATGCTTACAGCACCCCCCCCCCCCGGCACGTGCCCTTCCCCGTCCGCGCCTGTGGCTAGTGGAGGTCGGGGTGCATGGAAAGGCTGCCGCCTCCTCACTGCCCTCCCCCACCATCACTTATGGAGCATTCACTGCCTGTGGACTTGGCTGTGGGGACAACTGTGGGCGCTCTTGGTGTCCCCCCAGATCCCTTTCTGGCCTGGTGCATCCATGGCCTGGGCCTGTGAATTATGAATGTTGGCCGTTAGGAGCTCAGAGCTGCCGCCATCCCCGGGGGACTTGTCCTCATCCAGGTGGCAGCTGGTTTCTCCACAGACACACAGCCCCACTCCTACCTCTGGAGCCAACAGGCTGTCGGAGAAGCACCAAGGCCACCCCTCTTGCCTCAAGGCGAGACCAGCCCTGTGGTGTCACTCACTCTCCAGGCCCCAGTGGGACGGGGCTGAGGCTGATCCTGCCGCCCTCACCCCCTTCCTCCCTCAGTCAGTCCTGGGCACCAAACTGCCCCAGGCTGCCAGGGAGCCTGGGCTGAGACAGGGCAGGTGCAGTGCTGTGTGAGGCACGATGCCCGCCCCCAAGGACCGTGCAGTGACATTGCTGAGACACAACACACGCGTGCACACGATAGTGAAAAGGGTAGACAAGGCAAGACAGCGATTAGACAGGTGGAGGCGCCTGGAGCTGTGGTGATGGAGAAAGGCTTCCCGAAAGAAGGGGAACTAGGAAATAGATTTGAAGTGGTGGGAAAGGGAAGAATTTTCTCAGCAGGGAGAAGGTTCTGAGGAGAGGCCCTGAAGGGGGCCCCCCTTCCCTATCCTGCTGTCTGGAGGCACGATTAGGGGGACCACTGCTGGCCTCAGGGTTCCCCTAATCGTGGGGGGCTCTGTTTTGATCATCCCAGCAATGGGTCTGGATTTGTCCGAGAGTGCCCAGTGCGGCCTAGAGGGCCAGGCCCGACAACCCTGAGGCCAGCAGTGGTTCTCCAGCTTCCCCAGGCTGGCGGCTTGGTCCCCCATCAACAGCCCTCCACTAGGAGGAGGCATCAGCCCGAGTGGCCCACTTCTGGGGCTCCACGTACCTGCCGGACCGCGGGCCTGGGGGCTTGGTCACAGGTATTCAGTGATGTAATAGGCAGCGCCCAGGGCCCCCAGAGCTACAGCAGCAGTCCCGAGAGCTTGGAGCACGTGCATGACGATGAGAGGCGGCGTGTTTTCTTGCAGGTCTTCTGGAAAGCGAAAGAGAAAGCCCACGGGTTGGGGGAGGCTGGGCTTGAGGGCCTGTCTGCAGGCGGAGCAGCGGAGTCTGGGGTCCCCCCAGGGTGGCCGGACGCCCATCTCCCCTCCATACTCCTCCTCTCAAGGGGCCACAGCACCCGTGTCCCTTCCAACCACACCCTCCCCCCAACAAGACCCCCAGGATCTGCGGAGGGGCCGGCCCCATCTCCCCAAGACACCCCGTGTGCCGGGCCCTGTGCTCAACACCTCACACCCAACATCCTCCTCAAGCCTCACAACAACCCTGTGAAGAAGGTTCCAGCACGTGGCTCCATTTCGGGATGAAGCATCTGAGGAAACAAGATATAACGCCCACCCCCAGGCCAGGAAAGGTACCATCAGGGGGTAACTGAGAGGGGGACACGAAGGCGAAATCCACCCTGACAGCCTCCCACAGAGCAGTCTCGGTGCCCGGGCGCCTGTGCTCATAGAGGGAGCCGACGTGCCCTCCGCCCAGTCAGGGAGAGCGCGGGAGGCAGGCGCTGGCATGGGCACCCGGGGTGGCCTCTTGTCTCTCCCACCTCCCACCTCCCCTGGTTCCGAGCCTCGCTCTGGCGCGTTCCTCCACCTAGAAGGTTCTCCCTTTTCATTTGCAGCTGTGGAGCATCCTAAGGTCCTTTAAGAGTCAGCTCAGGTACCACTGGCCCCACAAAGTCAACCTGGGCCTCCCCAGCTCTGGAGGGGGGCCTCCTCTTGGAGCGTCTCCCGCGGGCACCCATCCCTTCCCGGCGGGCGGCTCAGTTTCTAGATGTGCCTGTCTTGGCTTCCACGGCGGCCCACAGTTCCTGGGGCAGAGCGCCCCGAGCTGCAGCCCCCAGAGCGCCCGCAGAGGAGGCTGGCTCCGGCTCTAAGCGATCGGCGTCCGTGTCACGCCGGGAGGCCACCCCAGGCGCGGGGAGGCCAGCTGGGAACGGCGGGTGGGCGCGGCGGCCCGGCCACTGGAGTGTTTCCTGGTGACAGATCCCCCCCACACGGATCTCTGTTCCCTCGTCTCCGGTGTCCTCCAAGGACGGACAGGAGAGGGCGTTGGGTAGGAGACGACAGGTTGAGGGTGGGGGTGGCGGGCTCTGCTTCGGGGGTAAGGGTATGAGACCCCAAGTGGGCCCTGAGTCTGGGTGGAGACGCTCTGGGGCTCCTCGCAGCCTCTGCGCTTGGTCTCGCCCCAAGGCAATGTGGAGTCACACCTCCGGCCTGTTCCTGGGGCAAGGAGTGGCCGCCGGGGCTCAGGAACATGAGGACAGATATTGGGGTGGTGGTGTGAGGGCTGCCCTGCCACGGAAAGGCCAGCCTGGGGGTGTGTCCCCTGGGGAGGACCCGAGAAAGCCTGAGCCCTCTGGGGGGCGGGGGAGGCCTTGCTGTTACCAGAGGGCAGTGAGTCACTGTCGGTGTCTGTCACTAAGCGCACGTGCAGGCCAAGAACCCGAAGCTCCCGCGGGGCCGTGAGGTGAATGCCGACGGAATTTAATCACACAACTCCCGAGCGACGGCGAGCCCGGGAAGGGTGAGCGCGTGTGCGCCGGGGACGGACCCACTGGAAGCAGCCGTTCCCGGGAAGGAGGCGCACCGGCCCCTCTCTGTGGAGATGGGGTGCCCTGGTGGGTCAGGACGGGCCGGGCACGGACCCCAGGAGGAAGTCACACACGACGCCTAACACAGTGGGGGCAGAGCCCCAGGGCTCTCGCCCCCCCTGCCCTCCAGAACCTGTAGAAGGTGAGGAGGTTCGGGAGGTCTCTCCCTGCCATGGTGGGCCAGGCTCGAGGCAGGAGGACATCGAAGATGCGGCTGTGGCACAGGCCCAGGTGGCGCCAGCAGGCAGCGTTGCCGGGGCAAGCGGAGCAGGAACAGGCGGGTGGCATGCCCTCGCGAGGCTCTGGGTGGACAGAAAAGGAGAGAGATGAGGGACCTGCCTGCTTCCAGGCGGCCGGGAGAGCCCAGAACACAGAGAAGGCTCCACCGACGCCCCAGCTGCAGTGGCGGGGAGACGCTGGCTCTAAGGGCCCAGCAAGGATTTGGGCTAGAACTGCCCCAGAAGGCGGTTCTGCCAATCAGGAGGGCACTGGAGCAGCCTGGGCACTGGCTGTCTTATAGGCTGGTGCTCCCTGGAGGATGCCCGCGTGCCCTCGTCATCACCCAGCCCCTCGAGTGGGCTCTGGCTCTTGTCCGTTCACAAACAGGGAAACAGAGGCTCAGAGAATGGAAGGGCTGCGCGCTCACGGCAGGTGGACCCGGGAGGTGAGCTTCGATGCAGGATGGCTGGCTCAGCTCAGGGCCCTTCCCGAGGAATTGGCAGGTGTGAGGGCAGCGGGTGTCTGAGGTTGTCCTGAAACACCTGCAGCCAGAGCTGCCACCTTCCGTTTTTCTGGGTTCACTGGTTCACCCGGAAGACAACCGGTGAGTCAGTTTACAGTCCTCAGCGCTTTCCCAAACTTCTGCCATTTTTGCTCTTTGCTCTGGCTCCAGCTGAACTGGGAGGTGGAGTCCCCTGCGGTCACATAGGGCACGTCTGGCCAGGAAACTCCCCCTCATGCAGCTGCTTCTGTCCTGGCTTCGGCAGAATCTTCCAACCAAACTTACAGAGCCAGTGGGCAACACACTTCTTGCTTAGACCTGCTCACCACAGACGCTTTTCCTGGAATGGGGCTGGAAGGGATTCTAAAAGCAAGACTTATCTTTATCTTTTTTTTTTTTTTTTAGTTAAAAACATTGTCAAATAGACATACAATTCTCAGGCCATAAAATGAATGCTTTTGAAGGGCTTAGTTTTTTGTTTTTTTTTTTTACAAAAGTGCAAAAAAACAGGGAACAATCACCATCATTATCTAATTCCATAATATTTTTGTCTAATCACAAAGAAACTGTACTCATTAGCAGTCACTGTCTACTCCCTGTCCCCCCAGTTCTGACAAGGTTTTGAGCTTTTGGGGGGCTGATTTCTTTCACTTAGCTTAGTGTTTTTGAGGTTTGTCTATACTGTACCATGTACTAGAACAGCATCGTTTTGGTTCCCAACTTGTGTTTCATTGCATGGATGTACCACACGGTATTTATCTACTCATCAGTTGATGGATATTGAGTCACTTTGACTTTTTAGCTACATTGAATAAATGTGCTATGAACAAGTTTTTGTGTGCATGTATGGTATTTTAAAAATTGATAGATAATATTACTTTTCGGTGTACAATATGATTTTCTATTTGAATATATTGCAAATAGTCACAAGTCTGCTTAACATTCATCATCACATAGTTATGTATATATTCACACGATGAGGATATTTAAGATCTACTTTCTTGGCAACTTTCCAATACACAGTATGGTATTAGCTATAGCCACTTTGCTGTACATCGCTATGACTTATTTTATAAATGGATGTTTGTGCCTTTTTATCCCCCTTCATCCAATTCCCTATCTCTGCCTCTGGCAGCCACCAATCTGTTTTCTCCATCTATAAGTTTTTACTTTGCTATAGTGTTGTATGAGTTCTTTATATTTTGGGGGCTATTAAAGCCTTAATAGATATGGGATTTATAAATACTTTTGCCCATTTGGTCGGTTGACTTTTCATTTTGTTAATGGCTTCCTTTGCTGTGCACAAGCTTTTCAGTTTGATGTGGTCCCATTTACATACATTTGTTTTTATTGCGCCTTTGTTTTTGGTGTCAAATCCAAAATGTTCATTCCCAAGGCCTATACCAAGGAGCCTACTACCTGTTTGTCCGAGGAGTTTTTATAGTTTTAGATTTTCAGTTCACATCTTTAATCCAGTTTTAGTTAATTTCTTAATCTGGTGTAAGATAGTGACTCAGTTTCATTCTTTTGCACGTTGCTCTCCAGTTTTCCCATTTATTGAAAAGACTCCTTTCCCCATTATATATTCTTGGCAAATTGGACATAAGTTAATTGATGTGTGAATATATTTCTGGACTCTATTCTCTTTCAATGATCTATATATCTATTTTTATGCCAATACCATACTGTTTTGATTGCCATTTGTCACAGAATTTTAAGTCAGGAAATGTGATGCCTCCATCTTCGTTCTTTCTCAAGATTGCTTAAGCTATTTGGGGCCTTTTGCAGTTCCAAACAAATTTTAGGTTTGTTCTTTTCTGTAAAAAGTGGCATTGGAATTTTTTTTTAATTTTTTCTTTTCTTTTTTTTAAATGACTTACTTATTTATGCATACAAGGACTGGGGTACAGGTCAGAGGTATGGGGGTGAGAGGATTCACCAGAGACAGAGTGGGGAGCAGAACAGTTGGATTTACTGAACTACACGGCTGAGGGGAACAGCAGGTGACACAGGAGAGGTCTGTTGCACCATGTAGGTCACCTTCCCGGCTGGGGATCAAACTCATGCTTCAGAGGCTGCGGATAGCTTCACAGTGCTGTGCTTAACCCCTTGTGCCCCCAGGGAGGCCTGGCATTGGAATTTTGAGAGGGATTGCATTGAATCTGTAGATTACTTTGGACATTTTAATAATATTAATTCTTCCGATCCATGAACATGGAATATCTTGTCATTTTTCCCCCAGTTTCTTTCACCAATGTTTTATACTTTTTAGTGTACAAATCTTTCACATCCTAGGTTAAATTTATTCCTAGCTATTTTATTCCTTTTCATGTAATTGTAAATAGGATTATTATCTTAATGTCTTCTTCTGACAATTTACTTTCAGTGTCTAAAAATGCAAGTTTTTTTGTATATTAATTGCATATCTTGCAACTTCTTTTTTACTTCCTTTTTTTTCTGGGAGGAATGTCATTCTTTTATTTAAATATTTTATTTTCTATAATTCTTACATCTTTTTTCATCTTTGCACAATGTATGCATTTTCATTTTGGTTATATTCCCCATACAATTGCACCGCCCCCCCTTATTTTGACTCTAGTCCTTCCTTTCCCCGCCTCTCCCTCCCCCCCACCTCCGTAGTGTGTCTCTGGTTTATAGTTGCTTGTTGATTTTTATTTTTACTTTGTATTGATTAGTCTTTTTCCTGGTCTCTTATTTAGGTTTTCTAAATTCCTGCTAGGAGTGACACCATCTGGTATTTTTCTTTTTCTTTCTGGCTTATTTCGCTGAGCATGAGCCCTTCCAGCTCCATCCATGTTGCTGCAAATTGCATGTGTTTATCTTTTTTGAATGCTGAGTAATATTCCATGGTGTATATGTACCACATCGTCTTGATCCAGTCATCTATTTTTGGGCATTTGGGTTGTTTCCATAGCTTAGCTATTGTAAATAGTGCTGCTATAAACAAAGGGGTGCAGGTGCCATTTGGAATTACTGTTTCTGTGTCATTTGGTCTTTTTTACTTCCTTTTACTCTTTGCTATTTACTTTCACTGCTTTTGATTATGATACCTGTTATTTCTTTTTCTTGCTTAATTTCTCTGGCTAGGACTTCCAATACAAGGTGCATAAATGAAAGCAGATAGAATGGGCATCCTTGTTTTGTTTCTGATCTTAGAGAAAAAGCTCTGTTTTTCACTGTTGAGTAAGAGGTTAGCTCTTGTTTATCATAGATGGTCTTTATTATGTTAAGATATGCCCCCTCTATCCATTTTGTTGAGAGTTCTCAGTGATAAATGGATATTGAATTTTGTCAAGTGCTTTGTCTGCATCTATTGAGATGATCATGTTATTTTTATTCTTCATTTTGATAATGTGGTGTATTTATTGATTTACAGATGTTGAACCATTCTTGCATTCCAGGAATAAACCTATTTGATCATGATGTATGACGCTTTCAATATTCTAGTGAATTCAATTCACTAATGTTTTGCATTTATATTCTTCAGGGATATATTGGCCTGTACTTTTATTCTGTGGTGTCCTTGTTTGCTTTTTGTGTCAACATAATGCTGGTCTAATAAAATGAGTTTGAAAATATTCCCACTTCTTCTATTTTTGTGACTACTTTGAGGGGTGGTATTAGTTCTTTAAATGTTTGAATTCACCCGGCAACTTATCTTGTCCCAGACTTTTGTTTGTTCAGAAGTTTTTAATTACTAATTCAATCTCCTTCATAGTAATCAGTGTGTTCAGATGTCCTATTTCTTCATGATTCAGACTTGCCAGGTAACATGTTTCTAGGAATTTATCCATTTCTTCTAGTTTACCTAATTTTTTTGCATATAACTGTTCATTATCATTTTTATGCTCCTTTATGTTTCTCTCGTATCAGTGCAAAGTCTCCTTTTTCATTCTTGGTTTTATTTGAGTTTTCTCTCTTTTTCTTGGTTTGTCAATTTTGTGTTATCTTTTCGAAGAGCCACCTCTTGGATTCATTTATATTTTTTCCATTATCTTTTTAGTCTCTATTTCATTCATTTCTGCTCTAATCTTATTTCCTCCCTTTTACTAACTTTGGGTTTCATTTGTCCTTCTATCTTTGAGGTATGAAGTTAGATATCTGAGATCTTTACTTTTTGATGTAGGTATTTATTTCTATAAACTTCCCTTTTAGAATTGCTTATGCTGAACCCTATAAATATCACTGTTCTTTCCCATTTTAGCTTGTGTTAAGAAATTTTTTGATTTCTCTTATTCTTTGATCCATTGATTAGTAGCATATTGTTTAATTTTCACATAGTTGTAAATTGTCCAGTTTTCTTCTTGTAATTCACATCCAGTTTTATACCATTTGGTTGAAAAAGATGTTTGATATAATTTCTGTCTTCTTAAATTTATTAAGACTTGTGAAAAAGAACTGAAAAATAACATCATCAACAAAAAGACTGTTTGGTGGTCTAACACATGTTCTTATCCTGGAGAATGCTCCATGTACTTTTGGGAAGAATATATATTCTCTTCTTTTGCATGGAATGTTCTATGTATCTATCTGGTCTAATGTGTCTGGATGATCTATCCATTAATGTAAGTGGGCTATTAAAATCCCCTGCGATTATTGTCTTGCTGTCTAGTTCTCCCTTTAGGTGTGTTAATATTTGTTTTATATATTTGCATATTCCTATGTTGGGTGCATAAATATTTACAAACATTAAATTCTCCTGTTAGATGTGGATACATGTTTTTAATTAGCTTGAGCATACAACCAGGAGTGGAATTGTTGGGTCACATTGCAACTTCATCTGTAACCCTTTAAGAAACTGCAGACTGTTTACCACAGATGCATCATTTTACATTTCTACCAGCAATGTACGAAGGTTTTGATTTCTCTACATTCTCATCAATACTTATTGTCCATCTTTATGATTATTGTCCTTTTAGTAGATGCATTGCATTTTCTTGAACTACAATATCTTTTACATACAAAAATATTTGGATTTTAGTAATAGCATTCTTTATTTAAAGACTCTCATCCCTTATTCCGGCTCAAAGGGAGAATATTCCTTTTGCAGGAGAAGAGTAGAGTGTCTACCATTACCGTTGATAACCACCACTGTTTCTTGCTTTGCCTCTTTAACAGGCAGAAGTCCTCCTAGGCTGAGCCACATGCATTTATTAAAAGATTTAGGAACAGAAGTTTTTGTTTTCTATAGATATCAGGTTTGAAGGTCAAAATCCAGAAATATTGATGTCAGTAGTGGATTATTATATTACAATATAGAACATAACATGACCATCTCCATATATTAAAAACAGATTGATTCTTAACCACAGGAATATCACTGTCACAATGATATCTTGCATTCGCATCTCTCGTCTATGTCCAAAGGATCCCAAAGGGAAAAGTTGTGACCTGGGATGTGCCGAATGGACCCAGAAAAAGCTCAGAGAAGGGTATTCTTCCTCTCAGGAGCTGCAGTTAAGAGCAAGAACTTTGGAGTCAGCATAGGCTGAGTTCCCTCTTAATGAGACCAGTGCCTACTTGAGAGTGAGTTTACTTCTTTGAGCCTTGGTTTCCCCATCTATAAAATGGAGATGACTATAATAATACCTCCTTTCTAGGACTGTTAAATGAGAGGATTAACATAAATGGCTAAATCACAAGCTGGGTGCACAGTAACTGTTCTGTAATAAATGTTATTACTGTTATTATTAGTAGTAGTATTAACCAGTTCACTTCCTGAACTCCAGAAGAATTCCCTCTACACAACCCAATGCTCACTCAGACTCTGGCTACCCAAGAATATGGGGAATCACTTTTTATGGACGGCCATTCCATTTTTCAGACAGGGCTAATAGTTGGAAATGTTTTATGCCTGTCTGTAGTGTCTTCAATGGATAAGGTTGCCAGGCTTAGCAAGTAAAAATACAGGATGTATTTGGGACATATAAATAGTTGTTTATCTGAAATGTCAATTTAACTGGGTGTCCTGTATTTTACCTGGCAATCCTCTCCTTGGGCCCTTCTTCAGATATCTGAGGACAACACGTAACAAATCTACATCTACCTGACAGCCAGATTTCTTCCAATTCCTTCAACCAATTCTCATACACCAAATGGTTCTTGCTTCCCCCTGCTCCTCTCATCCTCCACTCCTCTCATACACCCAGACTATCTTCTTTGGACTAGATTGTTAGGCATCTTTTACAGCACACAAAGATAGCCTGATGAGGACAGAATAAAGCAGTATGATCCCCTCCTTTGTCTTACACCACATGTTTCTATTAACACATCCTTGGTTTTTATTTTTAGCAACCATGTGGCACTTCTGACTCCCAATGAGCTAGTATTAACACTAAGCCAAGTCAAATATTAAAGCATCTGTGTGGCTGTCCTCTTCAGGGAGACTCAGGAAGATAACTAATGAGAAACCCAGGCTTTCTGGTCTCGGGTTAAAACATACACACAACCCTTAGGTTCCACAAGCACAATTCCAGGATCTACATTAACAGTGTATCAATACCTGCTAAGAACCAGCCTACACAATTAAGAACTGGCCTCTGGAGTCACCCTGGCACCCCATTAGCAGGAGGGCTAGAACTGCTTGAGCTGGAAGCCTACCTACCTGTTTTCCTGCACCGAGAGCCTTTTGCGATGTTTTCCTGAGATGACACGCATCGAGCCGAATGGCTGACTTTGTGTGTAGTTTTGGAAGTCTTGATTGCAAGCTGTTGAGGGGTGCAGTCAGAGTTGGTTGGCGAACTGGTGCCGGAATCGGCCTGGGGTGGGGTGGGCCCCGAGGTGGGCTGCGACAGGATGGCTCCAGAGCTGGGCGGTTGTTGGGTGGCCCCGGGACTGGACTGCTGTGTAGTGCCCCCAGGGTTGGTCTGCTGCTGTGCAGCTCCACTGCTGGACTGTTGGGGGCTGGGCTCGTTGCTCTGTTGCTGCTGCGGAGTGGACTCAGAGCTAGCATGCTGGGAAGTAGAGCCACGGCGTCGGGCCTTGGAGCTCTTCCTCTTGCCTTTCTTCATGGTGGGTCCTCCCAACTTAACTGTGGACCTACATGGAGCTGCTGATCTCTGGGCGGCTCCCTCCTAGAGGGGCCGTCTGCCCCTACCCTGGGGGAAGGCTCTGTCTGGCCTCCAGGGGGACCGAGGTCCCCTAGAGAACAGTCACTCACAGCCCTCCTGTGAGGTCACAAAAGCCAGGCTGGCCAGTCTTCTGGCTGCTCCCAGCCTGCTCTCCTCCCTCCTTCCCAGCTCCTGGAGGGGCCAGGGCAGCCTGGACCCCCTGATTCTCGACGGCGCGGCTCCTTCTGACCGCTCTCCGCTGGTGTGTTCCTGGGTCCTTATTTCTAAGAGACACTGGGGGTGACACTCAGCTCTGCCCCAACTTCCCCCACATACAAAAACAAGCACAAAACCTACTTCACCCTGATTGTGTGAGTTTTAGGTAACATTAATGAAGATTTGGGGGTTCATGGGAGATGCGCAACTTTCATCTCAGTTGTCCCCCCATTATCCTGTGTAAAGCAGTTTCCCCTTCTCCCAGTCAGTCCCCCTCATTGTGGAAAGGGGCTGGGGACCCCAATTTTGGTAAGAATCCTAGCATTTGGCAAAGATATTTCCCCCCTCCCCCCGAAAATAAAAGAGCTGTGTGGAAAACTATATTCTTCTCAAACTCATTACACTGGCAACAGCGGCTTGTCTCTCCAGCCCCAAACCTGGCGGGTCTGTCAGGGGACTCGGAATCTTTCTCAAAGTTAACGATGTGATTTTTAAAGGATGGAAGAGGAAAAAGGATTTTATAAAAAGACAGCCTTGACGTGCACACTTGAGTGCAACATAAACGTCCTCCTCTTAGAAGATTCTCCACATCACCAGGAAGGTGAGTACCCAGCCCAAGAGCTCCTGTGGCCCCCGACGCTGGCACACAGTTTAGGGCAGACCCACCTGGGTGGAATCCTCACGCCAGGCCAGACCTGCTGTGACCTGGGAGGTGACAGAGCCTGAAAACACCTAAGGGTTTCTCTCTTTTTTTTTTTTTTGTGGGACCCTTGCCAGTGGTGGCCGGGGATCGAACTGGCGCTGCAGAGACTGCGGGCAGCCTCGCAACCCAGCGCTCAACTGCTGAGCCACCAGGGGAGGCCCTAAGGGTTTCTCTTTTTGCAGGAGAAACTGGGGTTCAGGGAAGTTCAGTGACCTCACCCGGTCACAGCTGGTGGGTGGCACTGACTGCAGTCCCACCCAGGGCTCTTTCCTTCTAGAAGGTAGGAGGGAGTCAGAAAATTGCACAGATCTTAACACATTTAAAAATCCTTTGAGGGAGAAGATGCGGGAGGAAAAAACACAAAAGTCTGGACAGGAAGGACGCCCAGAGAGACGCACAAAGCCGGGGGGACTTTGGTTGACCTTCAGCGCAGTGAGGTTTGGGGAGCAGCGAGTCCATGGAGGACAGTTATTTCCCTGAAGCCAAGAGCAAGGGATCCCTCCAGGGGAGGTGGGGGTTTCAATTTAGAACCAGAGAGACTGGAAACCCGGGTCAGGAGCTTTACCCAGATGCAGCAGATAGGTCAGGAACTCCCGAGGCAATTTTATCTGCAACTTAGAGTTTCGGTCACCCGAGGGCTTTTGACTGGTTTTGTCCGGCTTTTAACTTGTTTAAAATCAGAGTTTCTCAGCTTCCACTGTGTTGGGTCACGTAGTTCTCTGTGGGGGAGGGGGAGCTGTCCTGTGCCTTGTAGGCAGCAGACAAGCATCCCTGACCCCTGCCCACGTGAGGCCAGGTGCATCTACCCTTCTCCCCAAGTTGTGACAACCCAGGGTGACCACGCTGCTAAATGTCCTTGGTGTGTGTGCATGCGTGTGCGCTGTGTGTGCCTTAAAATTGCCCCTGATGGAGGTGCGCGGGTTTATGTGAATTAGAGGCGGGCACACAGGGTAGAGTTTCTGGTAGTAATGCAAGGAATATTGCACTTCATGCCAAGGAGCCGAAAAGACAAAGAAAAGGGTCCCTGTTCCCCAGGAGAGTGGCAGAGGAAACACAACAGGGTCAAGCTTAGGGAGGAGCAGGCAGTGGGGAAAGTATTTTTATAAGTAAGAGTTAGGAAGAATTACTAAGAGTTAGAACAGCAAGATTAGTAAGAATTAGTAAGAAGCCGGGAGGGATGGGTGGGTGAGGGCCTCGCCTAGAGGATGAGAGGGCGGCTCTGCAGTAGATCTTTGCTAGACTGTTCCAGGGCCCTGTGCCTTCCAGCTGGAGCACACACACCCAGCCTGGCAGTCTGGCCCTCCTCTCCCAGGCCACAGCTCACAGCCCCAGGCTCACGGACTGCCTGGCTGCTGATCACAGCCAGTTCTCACCAGTGACCATCAGCAAAGAGGGGCGGGTGAACAGGCCTCATTCTCTGCCTTGCGGGGAGCCCGCCCCTCCATCAAGGCCCTCCACTGCTCTGTCAGAACCACTGGGCCTAGCACAGGAAGCTTTTTCCAGATCTCTCCGCCTCTGAGCCCCACATCACAGCCGCATGGTGTTCCAGTGGCCTCACCTGTCTGCCCTCTCACTCCCCTCCCAGGCTGTGCAGCGCGAGGGTGGCTAAAGTCCAGAGAAGGGGCTCAGTGGGCTGCTTGACAGCGGACATAAAAGAGAGCAGAAGGCTGCTGAAGGCAGGGTGGGCATGGAGGAAGGGGGGCAAGGCACCGGGAGACTTCATCACAGAGTGTGTGGGGGTTCGCAAAGATGGAATGGGGTTTTCCAGCCTTGGCTGCGGACCACGGCTGTGACAGTCCCTAGGCAAGGGGCTTTCTGAACCAGGCACACCGGCCCGGAAAGTCAGGACTATTTAGGAGCGAGACAGGAAGGGGCCCGAGGGGTGCAAAGTGTGGTCCTCAGGACAGGGTCCCCAGGGTGTGCAAATCCACACCCAGAAGGTCCCTGCTGGCTGGCCCTCTCAAGCCTCCTGGGCGCCAGAAGCACGTGACCGCTCGTCCTGAGGCTCAGCCACCAACCAGCTCTTCACCCCCACATGTCAGGAGGGCAACTGGTCCCAGAGGGGACTGTCATGCAGGAGGGTGGCAGAGCGTCGAACACCTGGACCCTGGCCTCCCCTGTCCAGAGTCTGTCCATCCCCATGGGTGCCCCTGCGGGGGCTTCTCGACATAGAAAGCATTTGGGGTTCCTTAAAGAGCCCACTGCCCAGGCCTTCAGACCCACAGACTAACCGATGGGGCCCCAGGCCTGGATTCCAGCACAGGAAGAGTCTCAAGGATTGAGAATAAGAAATCTGTGGTGGGGGCAACACTCTTAGGCACCTGCCTCACGGGGCGGTTGTGAGAATTCCAGGTGAAGGCTCTTGTAAGAGCACCTGGCGCCATGTTCTTACTGTAATTCCTTCCCAGGCGAAGACTGAAGAACCAAGAAAGGAACACGCGGGTGTGAGAGGCCTGGGTGGGCCCGGCCCCGCCCCCCACCCCGTCTGTTTGTGCAGAAGCGGGACTTGGAAGAGCCGCGGGAAGGGTGGGAAGTGGATCCCCTGAACTAAGCTAATTCGACCGCTGTTGACGCTGACATGGCCCAGGGAGCCCACCTGGAGGCGAGGTTAGTTCTGGGCTTGGCAATTCCTCCCCTCCCAGGACGGTGGGTGCGAGCGGCGGGTCAGGGGAGCGGCGGCACGGCGGGGTTCGGCACCCTGGACCCCGCAGGGCCGCGCGCGGGACTCCAGAGCCAACGGAAGCCCCTCCCGGGCGCGCGCTGCGCTCCTCCTCCTGCCCTCCAGCCCCTCACCATCCGTCTGGGTCTGTCGGTCCACGAGGGGCCCGCGCCGGCGCGCGGCCCCCCTGCGCTCCGGGCCGGCTGCGCACTGCACGTCCAGGGTGCCCTCGGGGCGGCCGGGGCAGAACACGGCCGTGTGCACCTCCACGGCGGGGCTGTGCTGCGCGAAGGCGCTGCTGATCAGGGTCTCCAGGCGGCGGCGCGCCTCGGCCTCCTCGTCGCGCATCGGCTGCACCACGATCCCGACGAGCGCGGCGGGCGGGCGGCGGTCCCGGGCCTGCACCTGCTGCAGGAGCAGCTGCAGCCGCGGCAGGTGCGAGCGCAGGGCGGACGCGCGGCACAGCACCAGCAGCAGGCGCGCCCCGGGCTCGGGCGCGGCCTCGGGGCCCCCGCGTTCCGTCTCCACCTTCCCCACGTCGCGGGGGCCGGGGGTCGCGGGCCGAGACGCGGGCGCTGGGCGCTGGCACTCCCCGGGGCCCGCGGCCTGCGGCGGGGGGCACGGGTGCTTGGCCGCCGGGCAGTCGGCGCCGCTCGCCGGGCGGTCGCGGGGGCGCTTGGCTCTGCGCCGGGAGCAGGTGCTGGAGCTGCTGCGGCCGCTCGTGGCCTGGACGGACGAGGACCCCGGGCGCTGAGCCTCGGGCACCTGCGCCAGGATGTCCTGCAGGGTCACGCAGTACTCGCTCTCCGCCCAGCCCCCAGCCCAGCAGCAGCACCTGGCCGCGGCCCTCGCAGGTCTGCGTCGGGGCCGGTGGCTGCGGCTCCTCCTCCGCGTCCTGCCCGGCCCTGGGGGGCTGCGCCCAAGGCTCCATGCCCGGGCCGGCTCTCTTGTCCCTCTGGGCCCGGGCCTCCGTTGGCCAAGGGAAAGCTGCCCTTCCCTGGGGCATGTCACAATACCCCTGAGCCCCTCTTCCCGCCATGACCCAGGGCCTCCCCGGCTGTCGTTAGGAATCTTCCGCCGTGGAGAAGTTGCTGCTGGGGCTGGGGTAACGCGGCTGTGGGTAGTTTCTCCATCATTTTGTCCGTGTTTGGTGTCAAAAGGCTGCACCTGCTTCTCCCCATGAAGGCCCATGAGGCCAAGCCTTCAAGTAAAGTGGGTATTTGTGCACCAGTTTACAAAGCAGCGGGATCGACGCTCCTCACCTGCAAAGCAGCAGGAGCAGAGAGGCGCCTTCTAGTTGTCTGCAGCCCCGGAAGGGGGCCCTCCCCAGGCTCAGCTGGCTGCTCTCTGGGGGCTCTGGCAGCTGAGTCCTGGGGCATCATCCACCCAAGAGGCCGCAGGAGATGGTGGGGGGAGGGGAGGTGGAGCGGCTCAGTGCCAGTCTGCTATGGGCACCATCCTGGGTAGGGTCTTTCTTCCTGTGTTCCTCCTTTGCCATTCACACAGAACCCCCAGCCCCTGACATTTCTGTTCTCCAAATGCATGCGGGTTTGCCCCCCATCAAGCAATTCTGTGACATCAGCTGGGCGCCCTACAATTTAACTCAATTCTGACACAGCAGCATCGGAGCCCACGGGTTAAGGACAGGGGCCTCTTCAAGCACTGCCACCCGGGCTTCTGACCCGCTGCTGTAAGGCAAAGTCTCCATGGCCCCTTCTCAGGTGGGTTCCTTGGCTGCAGTGGCTCACAGTGGCTCACAGACGCGGGGAAACTGCTCACCAGTTTATTGTAAATGGAAACGCTGAGGCCAGGCCAAGTATCCAGATGGAAGTGATGCGCAGGGCAAGGTACGTGGGAAGGGGGTGGGGCCCAGGCCTCCTGTGGGCACCCCACCCTCCCTGCACTGCCGTGTGTTGACCAACTCAGAAGTTCTCCAAACCCCATACTATTGGGGTTTTATGGACGCGTCCTCAGCTAGACATTTATCAATTATTAACTTCATTTCTAGCCCCGCTGTCCTGTCTGGAGGATAAGGTGTGTGTGTGTGTGTGAGAAAATTCCAAGTTTCTACTCTGACCTGAAGCCTGACCTTCCCCCTAATCCCCCGTGGGCTCCCACATTCTGGGCGTCTCCTGTCTGCTCATGACACTGATGACAAATGACCTGCGCCCGAGAATAGGGTTACTGTGAGCAGAGCGCAGGTTCTGGCTGCTCAAGAGCCTGGGTCAGAACTTGGGTCCAACCCTAATAGGGCCATGCTATGTCCCCTGAAGTGGGCGTTCAACCCCGCCTCCTGTGCAAAAGCATCGTCACTTAGCAAACAGGCATTTTAGGAGCACCTGTAACGTACAGGTGTCCAGCATATTCTGTGAGGATATAATGGTGACCCTGGTGGTGACAGAAGTTTCCTGCCCACGTGGAGGATCCCATCTGGTGGGCAAGACAGATCCTCATGAAAACCCCACCCTCATCACCACCCTCACTTTGCAAACAAAGAAGCTGCAGCTCAACACTCACTGGTCAAGTTGAAGGCCATGGAGCTACTGAGTGAGCAGAAGCCAGAGGAAAAGGAGTTTGAGCCTCCCCAGTCCCATTCTGGACCCGGGTGCAGAGACTCTCAAAGGAAAGTCTTGCTTCTGCTCCTGGGTGTTGCAGAGGACAGGCTGGCACCTGTTAGGTGAGCTACCAATGGCTGCAGCAGGGTGGGAGCAAGGGGAGCCTGGTGGGAAATATCAGAGCTGGGGAAGGAACTGGGCAGTTGGGTCCTGGGAAAATAAAGGGGGGGGGGGGGAGGCAGCTCTAATTATCTGCAGATGTCTAAGAGTCTGACACTAGAGCATCATGGAAACCCGAACTACAAAATAAAGCACGTGGGCCTCCCTGGTGGCGCAAGGGGTTAAGCACAGCACTGTGAAGCAAACAGCAGCCTCTGCAGCGCGAGTTCGATCCCCAGAGTTCGATCCCCGGCCCGCCAGGGAGCAACCCACATGGCGCAGCAGACCTCTCCTGACTCGCCTGCTGCTCCCCTCAGCAGTGTATTTTTTTTTAATAAATTTTATTTTTATATTCCCCATACAACTGCAACCCCCTTATTTTGACCCCAATCCCTCCTTTCCCAGCCCCCTACCCCCCATAGAGTGTCTCTGGTTCATAGTCATTTGTTGATTTTGATTTTCACTTTCTTACAGTTATTCATTTTCCTGGTCCCTTATTTAGGTTTTCTAGATTCCTGCTATGAGTGAGACCATCCGGGATTTTTCTTTTTCTTCCTGGCTTATTTCACTCAGCAGTGTGCTTCGGTCTTTCTGCCTGCTCTGCTCCCCGCTCTGGCTCTGGTGACTCCTCTCGCCCCCGCGCGTCTGGCCTGTACCCCAGCTCTTGTATAAATAAAATAAAAATCTTTTAAAAAATTTAAAAAATGAATGCACATCACCTCTGATGGAAACGGGGAGCCGGCGGAGCCCCGCGGTGTGGACAGCCCGGGTCAGGCCCGGCTCCGGCTCCCGCCCCGGCGCTGGGCGAGCCGGCCGGCAGGCGGCGCTGTCGGGCCGCGGGTGGGGCCGGGCTCGCGGGGCGGCCGGGCCGGGCGACGCCTCTGGGTTCCGGACGGCCCGGGCCCCGGGTCGGGGGAGAGTGCGGAGGAGCCGGGCGCAAGGCGGAGCTCTGACCCGGCGCACCCCGCACCCCGCACCCCTGTCCTCCGCAGGGCCGGGCCGAGCGGAGACAGCGGCCCCTCGCCCCACTGCGTGGGGGGATTCTCCTCCTCCCCCTCCCTCCTCCCCCCCTCCTCCCCCCTCTCCCCCTCCTCCCCCCCTCCCCCTTCCTCCCCCCCCTCCCTCCTCCCCCTCCACTCCCCCCTCCTCCCCCTCCTCCCCCCTCCTCCCCCCCCTCCTCTCCTCCCCCCTCCCTCCTCCCCCTCCTCCCCCTCCTCCCTCTCCCCCCCTCCCTCCTCCCCCCTCCTCCCCCTCCTTCCCCCTCCTCCCCCTCCTCCCCCTCCTCCCCCTCCTCCCCCTCCTCCCCCCTCCTCCCCCCCTCCTTCCTCCCCCCCCACCTCCCCCTCCTCCCCCCCCTCCTCCTCCTCCTCCCCTCCTCCCCCTCCTCCCCCCTCCTCCCCCCCTCCTTCCTCCCCCCCCTCCTCCCCTCCTCCCCCTCCTCCCCTCCTCCCCCCTCCTCCCTCCTCCCTCTCCTCCCCCCCCTCTCCTCCTCCTCCTCCCCCCTCCTCCTCCTCCTCCCCCCCCTCCTCCCCCTCCTCCCCCCTCCTCCCCCCTCCTCCCTCTCCTCCCCCCTCCTCCTCCCTTCTCCTCCCCTCCTCTACCCCTCCCCTCCTACCCCCGCTCCCCTCTCCTCCCCTTCTTCTCCTCCCTTTTCCCCCCTCCTCCTCCCCCTCCCTCCCCCCCCTCCCCCCCTCCTCCTCCCTCCCCCTCCCCCCCCTCTCTTCCCCCCCACCCCCCTCCCCGGCCCTGCTCCTGTTCCTCCCGCGCTGTCCAGGACACTCAGCTGCGGGTCATTCCACCCGGGACTCCTGTCCGGCCCAGGGAGAGAGGTGGAGGTGCTGGGCTTCTCCGGAACCGTAAATTGCCCGTGGAGCTGTGTGTGCCCACGCCTCGCCCGCAGGTGCCCAACAGAGAAGTGGAGTAAATAATTTTCATCCAGTCAACGAATCCCAGGAGGCCCTGGCGTGCCAGGCCCTGCGCGGGGCTCTGGGCGTGGAGACCTGCCCGCTGCAGCTTCTGTGTGCGCAGGAGAGAGACGAGCAGCTGTCATCACATCGCAGGGCTTGTAAGTCCTCGAAGAAAGCAAAGCAAGGCCAGGCGCTCCTGCCTGGGACTTTCCCGCCTGGACCAGGACTTTCCCGCCATCCTTTCCCCTGGGATGCAGGGGGAGGGACCAAGGAGCGGGGAGCACTCACCTCTGGGCACAGCCAAGACCCTTGATTCCTTTCGGAGAGGTTCTGGGGGAATATAATTCTGGGCCCTGCCCAAGGGATGGGATCCACCGGGTGTGACTAGAAAGGGAAGGGTCCGGATGGGAGTCCAAGTCCTCCGGCCTCTTGGGGAAGAACAGAGCGGGCGCCTCGGGTCACCAGCCTGAGGGAGCTGGTGGGAAGGAGGAGGGCGGCAGAGGGACTGGTGGGGTCAGGTGGGGAGGTGGTGGCTAAATCCTGTATCAATCTGACTGGGCCGTGGCACCCAGATGGAGCTGGTCAAATATTCTAGACATTTCCGTGAAGGTATTTTTTGGATAAACGTATTTAAGACTTTGAGTTAAGCAGACTGGTCTCCATAACGTGTGTGGGCCTCATTCATTCTGTTGAGAGTTTTAAGACAAAAGGCTGGTTAAAAAAAGGGGGGGGGGCTCCCTGGTGGCACAAGGGGTCAAGCACCGCACTATGAAGCCATCCGAAGCCTCTGCAGCACAAGCTCGATCCCCGGCCGGCCAGGGAGCAACCCACATGGCGGGGCAGACCTCTCCTGCCGCCCACTGCTCCCCTCAGCAGTGTACTTCAGTCCGTCTGCCTGTTCTGTTCCCCACTCTGTCTCTGGTGAATCCTCTCACCCCCCTGCATCTCTGGCCTGTGCCCCAGCTCTTGCATGCATACATAAATAAATCTTAAAAAAAGGAAAGAAAAGAAAAGAGACTGGTGAGGGAAGGGTGGGGCATTTACCAGAAGATTGCCTTTGGACTTGAACTGCAGCCTCGGCTCTTCCCGGGGTCTCCAGCCTGCTGGCTGGCTGCAGATTTTGCACTTGCCCCCTCCACAGGCATGTGAGCAACTTTCTGAGACTAAATCTCTCCCTCTAGATATACCATCTTCCCGGGGCTGTTGCTCCGGAGAACCCTGATGATATAGGGAGCCTCAGCGCCCCAACTGAGCTGGGCGGGCCTGAGAATTCGCGGTTGGTCAGCCTTTAAGGAGCATCTGCCCCGCCACTGCGTGCGCAGCTCTGAGTCAGGCCCCGGGGCAGTGACTCGGCGCGGCTGCCCCCAAGGCTCCAGAACTGGGCGGGTAGGTCTTTGTCCTGCCAGGGCTGTGCATGGATGTTTGGCCCAAAGGGAAGACAAGGGGCCCAGGAAACGAGGGGAGAAAATCCTCCCTTAACAGCTCACCCCACAGGTCCCCCAGGTGGGCTCTGGGACACACCTTAGAGTGGCTTGGAGTAGTGATGCGCAGGTGCCCACCGTGCGGGCATCACCCTCCTTCCTGCCTACGTCCCTTCCATGACTGTGACCAGCACCTGCCCTGCCCAGCGCTGCCAAGCCTGCAGGGGAGAGGAGGCTGCTTCTGCCACCGGGACTGGCCGGGCCGCTAATCCCTGAGAATAACATGCAGAGAGTTGCCACACACCTGCCGGTAACGGGAAGCTGATGGCGCCGTGCAGAGATGAAGAAATGCAAGAGGAAAATCTCTTTCATGCAGTCCCTCTTCCAACCCCCACCCGTTTCCAAATTTGACCCGCCTCCAGGGCCAGGGACCAGCCACCTCCAGGACCTCGGAAGAGCCCATTTTTGCATCGGGCATCAAAATCGGGAGCTTGTGGTTTAAAGGTGATCTTTAAAGGTGACTTTTGGCAAGAGGAACCTTAGCTGCCTGGACTGATCTTTGAACTTCCCACTCGCCCCTTCGGGAATGTGGGATTTCACGGAGCCGGCCCAAGGCCGGCGGGCCAAAGCCATTTCCAGGGCTGCTAACAGAGGAATTTCCTCATACCCCTGGGAGCCGGCTATGGGCCCCATAAGCTGGGGAGCCCGCCGGCTTGTCCAGGGGCTTCAAAGAAGGTCAGTGCCAAGGTTATGGAGTCCAAGGGGGCCTGGACCTAGGTCCTGAAGAAGGGGTACCGTACACATAGCTGGAAGGGGTTTGGGACTCACCAGCATTTCCCAGAAGGCTTTGTTTTCTTCTCGAAAGGTGGCCAGAGGCCGAGGAGCAGTGGTGTTCCCAGGCAAGCTCAGTATGCGTGGGTCTCACCACAAGGCGCCAGCGCCAAGTCAGACAGAAAGTCAGCCTAACCGCGGCCTCCACCCCCGAGTCTGTGAAAATCTCATCTTAAGTGACGGCCGCTCCACAGGTATGATCACGGTCTCGGTCTCCGGACCTGTGAGTGTGACCTTATTTGGAAAAGGGGGCTTTGCAGGCAGGATCCGGAGAGACAGACACCCTCGGGGTCGTCATCTGGACGGCCCCACACCCAACAGCCAGCGTCCTAGCAAGGCACACCCAGAGGAGAGAAGCTCAGAGAGGAGAGGAGAAGCATGTGAAGACAGAGCAGAGATTGGAGGGTGCAGCCGCAGCCGGTAGCTCCTGGAGCACCGGGGAGCCGAGTCTCCCCTGGGGCTGCTGGAGGAGCCCTGGCCTGCACACCCTCGGTCTCGGACGTCTGGCCTTGCCGTGGTGAGAGATGTTTGTGTCGTCTTGAGCCGCCAGGTCTGTGGCAGTTTGCTGCTGGAGCCCTCGAATTCCTCGTGTTTAGGGACCATGGGTGAGGGGCGTCAGGAAGGAGCGCAGCAGAGACGTTTCCACTCTCCAGAACAAATCTGGGCTTTCCCTGAAGCAGCTCTGGGAGAACAGTGAGCCCCACCCTCACCGGGCTGGTCGGACCCTCGGGGCGGCCAATCCTGAGAGGCAGAATCTGAAGGACAGGTCTCCCCACCCCGTCACTTGGGCATGTGGACTGTGTCAAGCTGAGCTCAGCCCTGCAGGCTCCCGAGAATCGCCGCCGTTCCCTTAGGTGCCCGAGAGAAAGAAGGTTGCGGGTCTGACCCGGGACTAGGATGTTTTCCGCCAAGGAACTTTCTGCTGGAGAAGCCCATTAAGAGGCAGGGCAAGTGCCGGGTCACAGAGACCTGCTGTTGGTCACAGGAGTCCCCCCTCTCCTCGCGCGAGCCCCCTCCTCTGTCTTGAAGCCCCAGCCCCCACCCCATTCCTTCGCTTAGGATCTAAACCCCCGTTTTGCCCATGTGCTGTAGAATCTACGTCATGTAGCGTCTCCAGGACAGAAATCTGCTCTTTTCTCCTAATCTGTGATGCTAGTTGCTCAACCAAGAAAAGAACCCAGAGGGGAAATTTCCTCTTCTCTCCCACAGACTCATGCAAATGGCTGTGTGTGTGAGAGAGAGACAGAGACAGAGAGAGGAAGAGAGAGAGGAAGAGAGAGAGCTCATGTTTCTCGGGCTATTTCCCCCCACCACCACCCCCTGGCTTTCAGGAGGAAGGGACAGCACCCTCCAACCTACAAGCCGGAGAAGCCTGTCATCTGGGACATGGGAAGTTGCCCAGAATCTGCTTCTGGAAACAACGAAGTGAAAGGAAACTGCCCACGAGGGGAGAGTCTTCCCGGTGTGACACCCCAGGTGTGGGTGGGGGGTTCTGG